AAAAAAAAAAAAAAAAAAAAAAAAAAAAAATAGAACAGTTCAATCTCCGTATCCGCAAATTTCTAATTAAAAATATATAGATTTTAATTCTAGAATATTTTTTAAAAAAATCATTAGATACATTTTGTTTATAAAATTTATAAGAAAAAAAAAATCATTGAATCATCATGTTTGCACATTTTTAGAAAATATTTGCGAGATTCGATTTTATAAAATTACTGAAATTTGAAATACGGAGACTTTACTATCTGGCAATAAAGCAATTTCTGGTTTCCCGCGATTCTGTGATCTGTCATTTGTGTATCCGCTTTGTGTACACGCAAATAATATTGAGATAAGTACGCCAATTTCTTTAAGACATACTTGAAGAAAAGAAGAAGCAAATTTTTCAGTATTACAAAGTCAAGTACAAGAAAATGCGTGTGTACATGTGGAAGTATATGTAAAACAAATGTAATGCACGAACAAATTTGAACTTGTTCGAAATAAGTTTTTACTCGATAGAATGTCTGACTGTCTTTCCAGTATAAATGTGTGATCCTTTTTTATGTGACATTTGTGTGACAATTTCAATCATTTATCATTATTGGTGTTTATTACTGTATTTCATAGCAAATATTTTCTCATTGCGCTCAATATTCTACTAACATTTAATGATATATAATGATATGTGAAATTAGAGTGTTTCTAAAACATTAGATTCATGTGAATCTCTTTAAACGAATAAAATTCGTTTCGAAATTAAATAGCGAATTAAGATATAAAGTTAAATTTACATTTAATTTTTATGAAATTACATAATATGAAACGATATTTTACAATGTATACAAATATGTTTTGTAATTTTATCAAATATTTTAGAAACACTTTTAATCATTACGTGCATATACTTAATCAACAAAGCCTTATGGCTTTGTCAAATTATTTATTTTTAAAAACCTTGTTTTCCTTGGTACTTTACGATCGTTTCATTTTATATTCATTGAAGTGAATCGTTTCTCTGTTACAGTCATTCCCACTCCTCCTTCTCCCCGGACTATCACATAAAATCCCAAAAGATCAAAAATTTTCCGCGCAAAATCAAAAAAAAAAGAGAAAAAAGAAAAAGGAAAAAAAGAAAGAAAGAAAAAACTTTCGAAAGTGGTTGAGAAAAGAAGCCGAGTTCTATTCTCTAGTGATTATAATGACTCGTGTAAACGATAGTTAATAAATATTTATTAGATTCGTACTGAGAATAGTGAAACACAGAAACATAGACGTTGTGAGTTAAGTGTAGTTTATTGTTGGCCAATGTTAAGATGGTAGAAACGTAAGCGGTAAAGGAATATTCGTTGTTGGAAATATGTCAATCATATTCTATCGCAGAAGCTATATACGTCCACAACTTTTTTACACTGATAATAAACATTCCAAGTGTAATTGTATCAGGATTATGGAAAGGATGGACTTTGAATATTCTCTCCTGTTATTTATATTGGAACATTTTATTTCAATCTCAGACTCTTTCTCTTCATTAAATACTTTTGATTTGGTATATTTAAGAAATAATAATTTAAAAATGGAGAATTCCATTTTAAGTTGTATATTAATATAATGTGCCATATCATGAACACATTATGTTAAATTTTTTATTGAACTTTTTAAATTTTTAATTTTTAATTAGTATATTTATTTAATTATGAGACCATAAAAAAATTTAGGATGTTATCACGGTCCATTTTTTCTTTAATCCTGCTCTTGTTGCTACAATAATAATCGTCGAAAATGAAAGAAACAATAACAAATGTACTACTATATTATTACATAATAGTCGCAGTATTTGATCGTATATATACGTATACATACATATATATATATATATTAAGAGTAAGTCATGTTATACAATTATAATAACGACAAAGAGGAAATATGTTTCAATTTGTAGGAAAATTGAATTATAGGCAAAGTTATGACAAAGAAAATGATTCTAAACTTAAAAAAAAAAAAAGAAAAAAAAAACGCAAAGAAAATAAGTTCAACCCTAATTCATAGGAAAATAAAAATTGAAAAAAAAAAAAAAAACATTATGAACCAGAAATGTTACGCTTAGAAAAGATTAAGAAGAAATCTACAAAAAAAAAGAAAAAAGAAAAAAAAGAAAGAAAATGAAAAGAGGGAGGGAAAAAAAATATTAAATCGTTGATTTCGAATAATTTATTTTCGAGGAATCATTTTCATTGTGCTCGGCGTCCAATATGAATCGTTGTTTTAATTATAAAATCATTATAGCTGGTCAACCCTTTCGGGCCTTCCCCTGTATATTTATCCAATAAGACGTTGTTCAATTGCGCTTGTTGTTATTGCCAAATGTTGAAAAGAACGAGAAATATATTCTTTCTACAATTGTCTTCAAAGTCACTGGCTTTTTGGGATAGTGATTTATTTTTTTACCAAATGCTTACGACCTTGAAGGG